GAAGCTTCAGTGTACTCCTCGCTTTTGTCCTTTTTATATTATCAACATTCTTCTCTCGTGCCACTGACAATTATATTGGATTTGAATATGTTCGATGCGGCATTTCTCCAGCAGCGCTGGCTTATTATTATTACTTTTTAATTTAAATACAAGAAAGGCTACATTATATTGTTTATGATGAACGGATAAAGACACGGAATCCGCAATTCGAGCCGCACCAAGCGTCGCCAAGTTTCTTCCATTCCCCGCAATAATACCTACTTTTACGATTTTCAGCCGCGATCAGACGACCGTACATCGGCGGATGCACCGGCGTGGCCCTGCAATTTCACACTAGAAAAAGTTTAATTACTCCCAGTGCCGGGAACATATCCTGGTGTAAACACAATGTCCGCGCGTCGGTTGTGCAAGCGGGAGATGGGCAGCTCCGCTCTCGACTAAATTCTTTCATGAAGGAAACGCAGCAAAGCCGAGACGTAGCGTCCGCATTCACTCGGTCGCCGGATGTCGTTCTGCTTGCTCTCTTTCTCTTTCTCCCTTCTCTTTCTCGTCTTCTCTCTGTTTTTTTTTTTACTCTCGCAGTCCGCGTGGCGGAGTTTAAATTGGTCCGCTTTCCGCCGGCAATCAAAGTCTAATCAAACTTTAACGAGTATCACGAATGCTCCCTGGGTACCCGTCAAATCGAGAATTCTAGCTTACCTCTGTCTTCTGCAGGACTGCGGATAACAGCGGATTTACGGCTCTTTTAAAAATTTCAACGGCGCCGATAGGCGATACAAGGAGCGACACACTGGGATTCAACGTGACAGGCCGATCTTCTTTTTGCCGATCTTCCTTGTACACAAGATTGGCGTTTCCACAGATTCTCATGCGTTTCGCCATTCATTTTGATGGACAGCGCAATAATTCTTCGTTGTCGTTTTACCTAATCGAATTGTCACATAAAAGCATGACCAACTGGCGGAAGCGCTCCACAGATTTTACTACCAACATATCTCACAGCAAACAACAATCTCCTATTTCTTGTTAACAAACTTCCGCCGTTACGCTCGCGAGGCAAAATTTTATGTATTTAATCCCACGCGTTTTAATAGTCTTTTTTTAGCGAGCTTTTAAGAAGCGCTTCCTCTCGAGTATATCCTCGCGCTCAATAATGTTTGCATAATAGATCTTCGCCGAAAATTTATTCACTCGCAATGCTTTTGACGAATATATTTTATTTTGTTGAATTGTTAGTTTCAAATGTGCATTAAACAACTGAAACTACAATTCAAAGTAAACTAATATTATGTACAATTTCCGTCCGTGATTTAATGCAACCGTTATATTTAGTGCAATGTTGAGAGTTGAATTAAGTATAATTATAAAAATTAGCAATTGAAAAAAGAGTATTTTTTAGCATTTTCTTAATTATTTTAATACAATTTTGCTTGTGTTAAAAACAGATACCGTAGGATTCTAGCTAACAATAATTCTAGATTTTCATCTACGCCTCCTTGCAATATCCATTGCGTATTGCGTTCATGCGGAACGACCGTAATCAAGCCTAAAATACGTGAAATGAAATTTACTCGAACAGAGGCATTCATTTAACGTGCGAATACATAGTATACTTCCTTCACACGTAATTTTATTGCAATTATGAAATAATTTTTGAGAACAAATTTTTAAAATATTATAATCACATGTATATGCGAAACGTGTGTTTTAATTTAATAATTGTGCATTTACGAAGAAAAGTATATTTGTAATAATATTATATTATTAATCAATCCCCCTTTTTATATGAATAATCCGCAGGGAAGAAATAAAAATAGAAATCTAACATTAATCTTTCAAGAATAGCACATGCCGTTAGCAGAATGTGTGATTACATGAAAATTAGAATTATTAAATCCGTCCGTCCGCGTTCTTTCCATCTAAAATCTCACAAAGGTCAAGATGATCCATGGATATAACCGGCTATATTGGAATAACCATGTTGAAAGAGAACGTATTTATGCTGTCTTTTTTAACTGCAACTACAAACAATAAACTGGAAGCCTCAAAGGTATAGCTTGTACTCGCAGGAGAGGAGAGCGCGATCTCGTTTACACCGTTTCATTTCTTTGAGATCCTGAATGGGCCGCTGTCGGTATTCCCGCGCTAAACGAGCTTTAAAAGGCGCATAGCCAGCGTCTTTTCGTGTTTTTAACCGAGCTGCAAGCTCGTTGCTTGAGGAATTACCGCTCGCTTAAGCTTCAGTTACGGCGAGTAATGCAGCAGTGAAGCGTGGAACCTGCATCCGTAATACTTGCTATTGTTGAAATGATTACTACAGCGATGTAAAATAACAATACGATCGTATCTTTGGGCACGAACCTTCATTCATGATAAGATGCCCCTATACTCTGAGATAACGTTTCATTACAAAAATTATAAATTTGCGATATTTCACGCTGTGTGGCGTATCAAATCAGAACGCTTATATTTCTAAGAGGTGCTCGTCTGCGAAATGATAGTTCGCGTAATGCAGAATCGGCCTGAAGGAGCTTGGATGAAATGGTTGTGACACGTACGGAGAAACACAGAGGCAACGGAACATAGTCTTCAATGCCCATAGTGTCCGCGCACACACAAACAGGTTTACATTTACGTGCAACGCGAACTAGCTCGCGATAACAACCCGGAGGGAAGATGCGTCCTTGTAGGGAAGCGAAGGGAAGGGAACGTACATGCGACAGGATATGTATTAATTGATGTCATTATATTCTCCTTGCGGCGAAATGCACTCGCTTCCTGCGTGCGAGTGCGTACGCAAGTGAAGAGACGCCTATAAGCAGAAAATGCGGATATAAGTGTTTGTGCGTGTATCGGCATATTAAGAGAGACAGGAGCGCGCATTTATACAAATGAGTGGAACTGCAACATCATAACAGACATATCATTGTTAATTATTGTCATGATTATTAAATTGTACCTGAGACCGATGATGCTTGCTCCCTTTATAGCCTGCGAGTCTACTGTGGCAAAAAAAAAGGAGAAAAGGTCAACGCATAGAGGGACGTTATCTACGTTATTGAAATGGAACGTCCATGAATATACGGGCGATTGTGGAATCGTGTCTGTTTATTTGAAAGTTACACAATTACATTGTTTTGTCGTGAAAAGTTGCTTTCGATGAGAAAAGGAAACACGAGTCAAATGTAATTATGAATGATTGAAAAAACATGTCCAGAGCATTGATGAAAAATGGAAAAAAGCGCGTGCAATCAATTCAAATAAACGCTGTAGTCAAAGTGCACGATAGTGATATCACGATATCGCGTAACATTTCGCGACTGTAGCTCAACGCAGTTGTAGCTGTGAAAAAGAAGTTGGTAGAAATATTTTAATCGAGTTGTCTTTTACGCGATAAACAAACAGGGAATTGAATTTTTTTTTTATAAATTGTTGGCATAACAAACTGTAGCGTCAAACAGAAGTTGCGATATTTTTTTCCGGCGTACTTCGTACACTGACGATCGCGTTAGACTGTGAGCAGCATTATCACAAAGGTTTAGCTCTCCTGCACTCAGGCCACTTTCAGAGCGGCGCTTTACAATATATACATATATCGCATATATCCGAGGCAGCGTGCGCTCGCTCGGTGATCTCTTTTCGATCTACCGCTGTACGTACTCTTTGTACGGGGCGGTGTCACGCGTCGATAATAGGGAAACATCGAATCGCTTCCTTTCTCGCGCCTCCGTTTACCGAGACAAAGGGTGAGACGAAATGCAAAATAGATAAACCCCTCGAAAAAAAATTATTCCCACGTGAGAAACATTGTTTACAAGCGCCGGATTCCGTTCGCGGATTTATAATCAATCGACGAGCGATACGATCGAAGAGCACTATGAAATAATTGAAAAGCACGAGAAAAACCAATCGCGTCTCTTAAATCGTATCGCCGTGCCATGTTTTCTTTCTTTCCCTTCCATTGATACGCAACGACGAGACGCGCGACAGCGAGCGATAAAAGAAAAGTTACTCTCATACCGCTTCCTACAAGTTGCGAATTTCCGCTCCGCGTTGAACAGAATGTAGGATTGGGAAAAGAGGTTGGGTCGGGTGTTGTGCTAAAGGGCGGGGCACGGGGGCACGCAGGGAGATCGATAGAAGTTCCAGTTGATCGAGCATTTTGCATCGACTGTCGCGGCAGGCAACACCGATGCATCGATGCTGAATCCGTTGTTGCTGGGCGTAGCAGCCATGGTGGTCCTTTTGGCCCTGGTCGTCGCTGGATTCCTGGCGGCGCTCTACCGGAAGCACTCCGCCGGCCGACCCGGAAGTCCAAAGCACGCTCCCATCGTATGCGAGCCGCCTAATGCAGGTGCAACCACCCCGGTGCACCCTCAGACCAAGCAGGCGGTCGATGACATCGATCCGGACATCATACCCAACGAGTACGGTGAGTTCACCGGCATTCGAATCGTTGGAAAAGGGTTGTACGAGCCGCGCCTTGCGCACATTTACTTTTTATTTTATGTCGACGACAATCTAGCTGAGCTGTCGGCATATTCACTGTCTTTGTACGCTGGCAATTTTATCGAGGATTTCGTTGCGAAGAATACTGCAGTAAAAATGCTAACTCGTGATTTTTCGAGAGATATAAGAATTGAATCGAGTATAAATTGAACATAAATAATCATATTGCATTTTTGATGAACGTTAATTGTAAACCAAAATATATTTATCGCACATATTTCATTTAAAGCGAATAATGCAGATAAAGATATAGTTCTCATTAAGTTTCATCTAGTTTCATATTATTAAATAGAACGAATAAATTTCTTATTCCTTTCCACGTTGTCAAGTTTAGTTTAAAATAGTTAAATAGTAAATTATATCGCAATGCGAATTCTCCAAAAATATCGATTACCTTTCATTTTTGCTTAGAAAAAAAAACTGATAAATGATAAAAGATTTTGTATAAAAACGGAAACATTATTTAATATTAAACCGATTTTAAATATATCATTGCTTATTTTTTCACCTTGGAATATTTAATTATAATATATGGAAGTTATATATGTATAAATCTTTTCGGTTTTTACAATCTTGGATGTAACAGTATTCATATTTTCTGCATATTTAAAATCACGTCTTTTATTAATCTTCGTAAAATTTTTTTGATAATATGAATATAATATCGTTAGATTATTAACAAAATCTATAAAAATGTGACATCGTGGAACGATATGGATATTTGATAACTGATATTATTTTAACTGCGTCGTTTTTAAAACGTGTGCCAAATTTTTAATATAATGTCAAGTAGTACTATTATAATATAACCAAGCTTTTTGTATAATGAACGTTGTGATATTACAAATTAAACCATACGTAAAATGTTTCCGAGCAAGACAGATATTGCGAAAATATATTCTTGAAAGAACGTATTATATATTTTTATATCTGCATTACATGTGGGCGCGTAATAAAACTTTCATCTAATATAATTTTCCAAGAGAGAATATAATATATAAAAACACGTAATGTTTAGTTTTTGCACTTATAACAAGTAAGTCCGTGAAACAAACTTCTCATTTTAATTTATTTTAGCGCAACATTACTTTTTCCTTTTCATATAAAAATACATTTTTATTTGCGATATTAATACGCGAATTATATGGAGCAGAAGCGAACTGCACAAATAATGATAATGTCAGGAAATACAGATTCGAATTGAGATGCTTAAAAATTGAAAGATTTCGCATGTCGCAATGAAGGTTTTATTCGATGAAATAATATAAATTCTCGCGAGACCCACTTCTTCTCGAATGAAAAATACGACATGACACGGGATTTATGGTTATCGCACTTGCAAGATGTATTATTTGTACAATAGCCGTTCCTTTCTTGATTTGATCGACTAAGCGGCTTAGTCACTCGGTTCTGCATGGCTTCTTTGAAACTGTCCGTAGAAAGAAGACCCCTAACGTACACCCCCGTCTATAAGACGCCGCCACAACGAAAGAAGAAAGATCGCGCCACCGACGAAGATACCTCGCCGGAGAAAAGGCCGATCGTTCAGCACGGTTTGGACTTGCCTTCGGACCCGATGCTGACTGACTGCCTGCCAACGCCTACCATAAATTACCCGCAAAATCACGTATCTCAGCAAAGCACTTACAGTCATCCGCCCACGATGGCAGATTTCAAGCAAATGGCGATGGACGCCTATAATCAGCGTAACAACCAAAACGTAAGTGATTACATTAAAATATTGCATCTTATTTGTCACTCGCTGACAAGATCATTTAATATTCCGGCTGAATGATTTCTTTGCGATAGAAAAAATTAGTGAGTTACAATTTTTGGGAGGAAAACGCGTGTAAGTTGCTGTATAAGTATGTCACAATTTGTCGCAGCGGAAATTTTGCATAATAGAATTTATTTTATATTAATGTTCCAATAAAATTATAGAAGAATCTTCGTTAATTTTTCCGATGGAAAGCAAGAGAATTAAAAGTAGGTCAAATTAATTCTCGAGCATATCGAATAAGCGCTGTATTTTCGACTCCGTAATACCTGATTCGATCTCCGTTCTTATCGAAATATATTGCCCCCTTCTAACTTCCGTAAGGCAAAGCTAAAGCAGAGAGGTTGTTTTAAATATTAGAAGCTCGGAGCGGAGGGATGAGAAGTTAGTCAAGAGGAGGAATCGGTTGCTTCAATATGCGGAGTCTCCCACTTTAACTTTTCCGGTTTAGCAGAGTCTTGAGTTATCTGCGCTTTCGTAAGTTTAATTACGTCGAAGTTTTCTCGATAATTCGACGAGGCCAGTCCCGATGCGCGTAATTCGCATTCGACTTCCGTCCTTCTCCGTTAACGTTTTTCTATTTAGGTGTTTGCATAATTATAACACACACACACGCGCACACACCATTTTCATGTATTGAATTAATACACCATAGGAAAATGCATTACTAACATTAATATTTCTGCTCGACACTCTGCAGTTTTCACGTAACAATAAATGTTATGTACAACACACGCGTATTTTTATTAATCGATACAAGTGTGATGCATATTGGATGTGCTTCTCGCTTTCAGATATATTATAGCCTTCAGAGGACGAGCAAAGGTCTCCCGTCTATGCCGCAGAGGCCCGTTTCATCGTCGGTCTCCGCGCAAGGCAAATTCCATCAACCGGAAGTGGTGACACGCTCGAATCGGATACAAGAGAGCTGTATATAAGTTCGGATGGATTCCCTGCAGGATCGACTCCGTGAGCTTCTAAGACGCCGCCGGCGATTATATTTACACGTGTAAATGTAACGAGCATGGAGCAGAGAGAGCAGCGTTATAGAGATCTGAAAAGATCCTTGAGACGCGAGCGCGAAGTCTAATGTGACATCTTCCCGTAGTTGGTACGCGAGTTTCGAACCACTCCGTGAGACACACTTAACGTTTACTGTACAAAACCGTAGAGAGGCTGGTGGTGTGTTACGGATCTCGTATTGACGGGAACGCGGTCTCTCCTCGAGATTACGTTACTCCGACGCCGCCGGTGACAGCTGCGTTTTAATACATAATTTTGCGGGGACGACGAGGTAAGCGACATTAGAGAGTTAGAGGGATACCTATACATGTCCAGAAATATTTCTTTACTGACATACTGAGGTATTAACGATATATCGTACGTACAAAGAGTCTAACCCCTAAGTAGTTAATGTTAATAACGAGAGGAAAAAGAAAGAGAGAGAGGAAGAGAGAGATAAGGCTGGGTCGCGCGCGAGCTAAGAAAATTTCAATGACGCTTTATATTTCATTCTTATTATATACTTCCGGTTTGCAAGTCGCACACAAAACGCCATCTTTCTACATGGACCGATTTCTTTTGAAACTTTTACAATCTACAAACTACTTTTCAAGTCTCCTACTACATTTTTGTAAGGTAACACAGTTATTCACGACCGAAGCTCATCCTCCAGTCTTATCCTCAAAATACTAACGATATTAATGTGATCGTATTCGAAGCTCATCACTGCTCATGTTTTTCGTACGCAAAATTTTTATAACGAACCGGAAAGGAAAGAAAAAAAAAGAGGCATATTCGTTCAAAAGACTTCGCCGAAACTCGAGAAAATCCTCCCTTAAAGAGCGACGTCTTCGTTCCCGATCACTGACGCGGTACATGGACGTGAGTTTTACTGTTTATATATATATATATATATATATACATATATATATGAAACTAGTTTTTGTACAAAGATCTATTGTAAATAGATACACGAGCCTGGCCCTAGAGTTATAGTCACTAATGTCCGAATTTCATCCGTTACACGTTAAGCCAAGAAATGTCCGATCGCGTAAGATAAAAACTCGATGGCGTACGAATACGAAAATAAAGAGAATACGTTTCATCTGTTTTACACAAACCAGCTCATTCGCTTATCATTCCTCTTGACCTTCCACCGCTCCCCTCTCCGTTAAAACCGAAGAACGTGCGGCGATACGGCAGAAGGCGAAATTCCTGCCGGGATACGTGAGACGAATTATCCCTGCGATGTGCGCGCTTGTGTTACGCTTCCATTATGCCTCTCTGTGTATACTCCACGTTTCTAAACGTGAAAGAAATTTCTCTATGCGCAAAGTGCGAGCGTACATGCTGCGCGATACGCGACTTAACACATCGTTGCACGATGCATATCTCAATTTATCGTTCTTGTTGCAATTAATTACGTAGAGTGTGCTTCGTTTTATCGCGCGCTTGATATATAAAGAAAATTGAACTTCATCGGCAAATATTTATTTCCTCAAGGAATTTTACTTGATGCTATTTCAAAGATGATCACAAGACCGTATAAAGAGTATAATTTTACTTTCTTTGCACTCTTCATTTCTAAGGTAAGTATCGCACTTTTAATATACCGGCAATCGCGCGCGAGATAATTGCAGAGAATGGGAGCATTTAATAACGGCGGAAAATGCAAACATTTAATGCCAGTCTCGGTATGCCGAGACGCGTCGACGTCGACGCGTAGCGTGAGAGAGTGAGCGATATATATTTCACAAAAAGAAAATTGCCACGGGCGAGACGTATCGCGCCATTTCCCCGAGATAAACGCGCTGCGAGATGGCTGAAGTGCTTTAAGGAAAACAGATCGTCGCGCCTCTCCATTAGCTTCGAAGAGAGCTGCAAAAGCGCACCCTGACAGCTACGCGAGCATCCTATTGGACGAAGAACAGTAATTCGAGCATTTCGGCGCGGGGGCAGAGGAAGAGAGAGAGAGAGAGAGAGAGAATACAGGAACGCGCTACAGTGTTTGCATACATTGTGCATTCCCGGTCTTGCTAACAGGGACTAACCCAGGTTGCCGGAGTAACCTATTATTCTATGTGCCATCCGTGTCTCCAGGGCTGTTAAGACGACCTACTCGGCTCCTAACGCTGTCGTAACTATCCCCCCCGTCAGACTGTCACCCATTCCAGCTGCGAATTGCGAGACATAATTACAATTCACCCAAGCATCATAATCGAATGATATCGCAATACGTGCAGATGGAACGGTCAATAATCGTACATCGTATATCCCGTGATATCCAGCGAGCTAATACTCTGATTCAATCACAATCCACAATCCAGCTATTACAGAGACGCAAAGTTGACATCGATTTTACGTTTCCTTCTCCTTTTTTTTTGATACCTTTTTTCTTTTTCCTTTGTGAAACGACGACTTTCCATTCAATAAACTAATTTGTTAAAACAATAGACAAATATTGATACCATTTGTCTCCTGAACAGAAAATATGATTCACTCACTTATAATCTGGTGTCTTCGTGTGTTTGTAACGTGAAGATGTCGAGACTCGCGAGAGTTTTCAATGGAAAATCGTCGACGGTGAATTGTCCGCCATTCTAGTGAGAGGAAAACGTGTCACGCAGCGACACGCTAAGTTTGAGAAGTAATCGAGCCGCGAGGCAGTCGAGCACGCTCAATTAGTCGCGGAAATCATTTCCGGCGGTAAGTCCGGCACGATAATCCGGCAAGACGATTCCACGGTTACTGAGTCGACTCTATTTTCTCGCTGCCGAAGATTTCGTCCGCTCACTTTAAAACAGGAACGGTAAGGTAAGTACTTATAGTGAAAGTATGCAAAATCTAGAATTTACTAAAAGAGGATTAGTAATTCACTATTTGTTTTCTTTTATCTAGAAAAGACTCGACAATAGACAATATATTGTTTTAAATATTAATAAATGATTGAACTAAAATTTTTCAACGTACTCTTATTTGATACTGTTTTTATCTGGTATATATTTAAAAATAATAACCAATTAGTTTAGGATTGGTTTGTTTATAATAGAAGAAAGTTTTTCTATAGAATAGCTTTTTTAATAATATAAAAATATACGACTAAAGTTTCTTCAGAGATATTTCGGATGCTTATAATAGAAGAAAATTAAATTTGGCACAAAAGCTCGAAAAATTTTAGTTGATACATTGTTCGTAACTACTGGATTCGTGTCACTTCAAGCAGATTGGTTTGTCAAAAGAGCATCTTCCAACATGCTTTCACAGACGCATACTTAGAAGGATGCTGTTCCGTTGATTGCTTTAAAAAAACTTGACCGATTTCGGGAAACTATGAGTACTAATACTCTGTAGAAAATAATGACTTCTCGGCGCATACGAAAAACGACAAGTAGCTTTTCCAGTACCTTTCCAGCATAAAAATACGACAGAAGTTCCTTCAGAGATATTTCGGTTGCCCATCTGTCGGTATGCGAATAAAACAGTTTAAAACGTCAGTTACCAAGCTAGTATATTCGCGTAATAATTGACGAATACGTACTACGACCATAGCATTGCGAAACGAGAACTGCACTTATAGAATCAAGTGCTTATTAAATACACATAGCACGGAGACATTATTTTAGACCTCGTATCTTTTATCGATCCGAAGAGAAAACTGTTATAAACGTTAATCCTCGATTAGACTCGGACTTTCTTTTTTACATCGACGCTTACTTCATCCCTGTCCTCCCCCTGTTAGTACTACCGTTGGCGCCATTTAATGGCAGTAACTACGTTTCAGTATCACGCCACTACCGTATTACGATCGGGGTGTATACTGAAAAAATATTTTTACATATGTCTGAATAACGGAACGTGACAGCAAGACATAAGAATATTAAGTAACAATCGCGACCGACTAATTTGCGAAAATGGAGCGAGCGTCATTATGCAATGCGATTGCTTTGAAAACGCGGTAATTCACCATTGTCCCATGCTTAGCTTTGTCGCGTGTGACGCTATTCGTCAAGCTAATGACGTACACTCGACAAATTACAAACAGTAAAATTACGGACTTAACGTAGCAGAGCATCAGCTTTGTATTAACGCGCACTAACGAGCACGAGCGAATTTCTGTGTCGGCATTGCGATAGATACAAGATATAAGATTTAAATGACAAATTAAACGTAGAAAAATAAATATTAATATACTTACGCATATGATATGAATAACGTGTAAATAATGTGTACGTAACACACGCTAGATTTCTTTGCTTCTTTTCACGCGCATATATTCTGAATAATTTGAAGTCAATTTTTATTTCATAAAAATATAATTAGGCGACGTGTTTTTTCAAAATTCTTAACTTTAATAGTTTGTAAATATTCAAATTAAAATTCTGTCGAAGTAAAATTAACTTCAAGTAAAATTCTGTTTTGCAATACGACTAATTGGCGGAGAAATTCCTAATATCTTCAAATTAAATTCAGAAACTACAGTATTTCGATATTTTCACTGAAAGCAACTTTAAATTGGGCAAAGAATCTGCGAATAAATAAAAATTAGAGAACATCTTACATGTTCTATTTCTATATCTCCTCAAAGTGCCGAGAGCAAAATTAAAGCGCGTGTATTTCAGTCATGCAATGAAAGGTTACAGTACAATTGCATCACGATCTAAGTGCAATATCATGAAGCCATAGTTGCTTACATTATTCATTGTTTGCCGATTATTCCAGCATGCCGCACTCATTAACGAAACCAATCATTAAAGTTCGATTTCCGCAGCGCCTTATAAATAATTATAGATTGATCGCAGCAAAGTGGCATGCGAATATATAGTTGCTGAACGTTCCCATCACGAGCCGCTATAAATGTTTCAAAGACGCCACATCGATCGTCGCAAATGCGCCACGACGAGAAGTAGCATCGATTATATAAATATATAGCAGATCTGTTCCAGTATCTTCTGGTCACGGTTATAAGTAAACCCATCAGAAAGTCGTTCATGATCACCCACTAATTTTCATAATTTTTCAGAATATTCGTAATCCATGAACTTTCAATCCTTCTTTATATAAAATATCCAACATAGATTAATATTTTAATTTTCAGAATACAAATATTCTTATACAAATATTTTTGCGATTGATTTAATTCCGTTAAATCTTGACATGCTATCTGATATTTTTAAAGTTGGGAAATTGTCGATTCAAAAATGAGCAACAAGCTGTTACAAATCGATATATATATCGACCATGAAAACGTTTAATAAAATATGTTCAAAAATGCTGAGGACGCGGTTGATTCATTAAATCCCATCGCGGATACACGTAGCTCGTGGTAACGTTAAATCTGTGCTACCTAAGTATTTCAGGCACAAACAGATATCACTGTAAAGATATATCGGGAAACGTAACTCCGATCCCATAGAACGTTATTGCTCCCTTGATTCTCAGAGCAGTAAATTTCTCGAAGTATTCTTGGCAGTCGGCCTGACTCGGATTTAAGGGGCATAACCCCGTGGCCTGGATTTAGAACCGTGATACCAGCTCCCGCAGCCGACACCGCGCGCAACAGCGACGGTCAATCGACGAAATGCAACCTTGTAGGATCACATCGATCACAAGTTATTGCGCTGTCGATTCTCCTATCGAAAAAGCAGTCGTTTCTTATCGCAAAACGAACGTTCAAGCACATCGTATTTGGATACATAACACAGTGTTTTTAAAATTACCATAAATTTTAATCGATTAGTTCAATATTTGTATACGCGTCATACGTTTAAGATAAATTTGATATACCCTCATTGATATTACGCATACAAGTTTTGCATTATAAGTATCAATTACAATTGATATATTTACAAAAAAGTATAAAAATCCTTCACCTAAATAAATGTTAAACAATTGATTGCATTAAATGTTTCTCGACTTTAAAATTCTCAATTCGGAGCTATTGTTAAAAATTCAGTAATGTTTAAAGATTAAAATTCTGAAGTCTTATTTACAATTTTAAAATTACATAATTTATTTCTTCGACGATGCAATTGTTAACGTTTTTCAAGCGAAGGAAATAGAAACTGTGCTGCTTAATGTTGCAAAATTAAATATGCGTATATAGTCATACATCTATACACA